GAAGACCACCAAAGGCTAAATCTGATGCCAAGGTTGTGATCCCAAAGAAACGTGGAAGACCAGCAAAGGCTAAGGTTGACACCAAAGTAGTAATTCCAAAGAAACGTGGAAGACCAGCAAAGGTTAAGTCTGAGGCTGAGGTTGCGATTCCAAAGAAACGTGGAAGACCACCAAAGGTCAAAAGGCAAAGTGTCGCGGAGAGGTTTATGAGTCAGAATAAAATAAAACTATCGATTCCTGCAGATAGTGTAATAACTCAGGTGGGACCTAATAAGTACACGGTGACTGTGGATCTAAGCAAGAGACCAACAAGGAAAGCTCCTGAGGAGCCGAAAGGTGTAGCTCCATGGAGGCCAGTTCCTAAGCCTAGGACAGTGTTCCCTGAAGAAAGACCTGTTCCTAAGCCAAGGACAGTGTTCCCTAGAGAGAGACCTGTTCCTAAGCCTAGAACCAGAAAGCCAGTGCCTCCTCCAAAGTTAAGGAAGCCCGTAAAGGTAATGAGGGAAGTTAAGGAACAGCCCGCAGTGGTCACACCAAAGGAACATGAGATTGATCCATTTGGAACATATCTTGAGAAGCCTTCTTATAGAAAGATAGAAACTGCCGCAAATGGTGCAGCGGTGACTTACTCAATAACTCCAAACTTTATGGATCCCTTGGACCAGATGACAGCAAGTAGGCAGGTAGTGAGGGGAATTCTAGTGAATGAGTTGAAGAGAATGGGAGGTCTAAAATATACGGAGACAATTAAGGTGAGAATGTCAAAGGAAATCGGAAATGACAAAACAAAGAAGGATTCAGTGTACTTTAAGTCAAAAACTGGAACTGCAACTAACTTTGAGGATATTGAAAGCACTGCAGCTCAGAACCAACTGACTATCTTATCCAGAATTGAAACTTTCCAGAACTTAGGTTCAAATTGGATTATTCTGAACATTGAGAGTCATTATGTTAATATTGCAATGTACAAACCTCTCAAGGGTAGTTCATATATGAAGTTACCCGCAGACATTAGCAATCCAAAATGCGGCTTAATTAATATGCAAAACATGGATGAGAAATGCTTTATGTGGAGTCATGTGAGACATTTGAGGCCAAAGGCTAGGAGGGCAACTGCTATTACAAAGCAAGATAGGGAGTTCGCGGAGAACCTAGATTATAAAGGTATAGACTTCCCTGTCAAGATAAGTGATATTAACAAAATTGAAAGAAGAAATTCAATAAGTATATCTATATTCGGTTATAAGGGCAAAAAGCAGTTCTACCCAATCAGGAACTCAAAGACTAAATATGATGAACATATGGAGTTGCTGCTGTTAGGTGACAACAATGGTGGTAATCATTATGTCCTAATAAAGGATGTAAATAGAATGCTCTTCAGTGTTAGCGGTAACTCAAACAAGAAGCACTTCTGCTTGTATTGTCTTCATAGTTGCACTAGTGAGGAAACATTAAAGAAACATAGTGAGACATGTGTTAGTGTAAATGGAACTCAGGCCACGAAGCTTCCCAATGCTGGTTCAAAAATAAAGTTCGGTCATTATAGAAATTCAATGCCTGCTCCATTTGTAATCTATGCTGACTTTGAATCTATGCTTGTTCCTGAGGAAAGGAAAGTGGAATCTGAAGACCCTGAGGAGAAGAGTTCAACTGAGCTTTACCAGACACATAAAGCTTGCAGTTTTGGGTTGAAGACAGTGTGTCACTATGATGATCAGTACTCAGGCGAATATACGAGTTACGTTGGTGCAGACGCTACAGAGGTCTTTCTGAAGACAGTTCTGAAGGAGTCTATCAGGTGCCGGGAAATGGTGAACAAAATCTTCAAGAAAAAGATGGTAATCACACCTGAACAAGAAGCTGAGTTCTGGATGACAAGAAACTGCTCCATCTGCGGCTGTGACTTAGGTGATGATAGAGTCAGGGACCATGATCATGTAACTGGACTTTACCGCGGAGCTGCTCATAATATGTGTAACTTGAAATATAGAATTACATGGAAACTTCCAGTGGTCTTCCATAATCTAAGAGGTTATGATAGTCATCTGATAATGCAGGAGATTGGCAAGTTCAAGATGAACATTAACGTTGTTCCAAATAACATGGAAAAATACATTTCATTCTCACTTGGTAAAAGTCTAGTGTTCATTGATTCCATCCAATTCATGGCTTCTTCCTTGGAGGCACTTGTAGATAACCTTTCACCTGAAGACTTCAAGATAGTCGGTAAGAGGTGGCAGGGAGAAGACTTTGATCTAGTACGACAAAAAGGAATATTTCCCTATGAATACTTAGATGACATTAGTAAACTTGACACTGAGGGACTTCCAAGTAGAGATGAATTCTACTCGTCTCTATATGAGTCTAAGGTGAAAGGAGAAGATTACCAAAGAGCTTTAAAAGTTTGGGATCACTTCGGAATGAAAACGATGAGGGACTACCACGATCTTTATCTAGAGACTGACGTTCTTCTTCTAGCGGATGTCTTTGAGAATTTCAGGAAGACTTGCCTGGAAAATTACAAGCTTGACCCTGCTCATTACATCTCAGCTCCTAGTCTAAGTTGGGACGCGTTCTTTTAAAACAGTCAGGTGAGGAAATAGAATTGGTAAGTGATATGGACATGTTTCAGTTCTTTGAGAAGGGAATGAGAGGTGGGGTAAGTCATATTGCTCATAGACACTCTACGGCGAATAATAAGTATATGGAAACGTATGACGAAGAAGCTGAAAACAAGTTCCTTATGTACCTCGACGCCAACAATTTATACGGCTGGGCAATGTCTCAACCTCTTCCAAATGGAGAGTTTGAGTGGATCAAGGAAGTTGATAAAATAAATATTGATGACTACTTAGGAGACAGTGGAAGGGGTATGGTTCTTGAGGTTGATATGGAATATCCAGAAGAACTTCATGATATACATAATGGTTATCCTCTAGCTCCAGAAAGTAAGGAGATCGATGTGTCAATGTTATCAGACTATGCTAAGGATATTGCCGATAAATTCCAGCTGACAATTGGAGGTGTGCGGAAACTGGTGAACTCCTTAGGTCCCAGGAAGAATTACGTTCTACATGTTAGGAATCTGAAACTCTACATGGAACTCGGAATGAAACTTGTGAAGGTTCACAGAGCAGTCTCCTTCAAGCAGTCAACTTGGTTGAAAAAGTATATTGACTTCAATACTCAAAAACGATCAGTCGCTAAGAATGCGTTCGAGAAAAACTTCTTCAAGCTAATGAACAATTCCATCTACGGAAAGACTATGGAGAATCTAAGGAAAAGAGTTGATGTGAAACTAGTGTCGTCGGAAAATGATCTCGTTAAACTTACGGCGTCTCCATGCTTCCAGTCACATAGGATTATGAATGAGAGCCTGATCGTGGTAAAGAGAATGAAGGAAGTGTTAACCCTAAACAAGCCGTGTTATGTGGGAATGAGTATCTTAGATTTGTCTAAGACTCTAATGTACGACTTCCATTACAACACGATCAAGAAGAAGTACGGTGACAAGTCGAAGCTCCTGTTCACAGACACTGACAGTCTAATGTATGAGATTAAGACTGATGACGTGTATGAGGACTTCAAGAGGATCGGTGAGAAGGAAGACTGTTGGGACAACTCAGATTATCCGAAAGATTCTCCGTATTACTCAGCTCATAATAAGAAGGTAATTGGAAAGTTTAAGGATGAAGCTGCAGGAGTGCCGGTGATAGAATTCGTGGGGCTAAGATCGAAGATGTACTCTTATGTAAAGGAGAGTGGTGGAGGTGGAATGACAGCTAAAGGTGTGAAAAAGTACGTGATCAGAAACAAACTCACTCACGAAAACTTTAAGAACGTGATTAAGACCAAAGGTAGGATGAGACATAAGATGAACACGATCAGAAGCATCAAGCATAAAATCGGAACTTACGAACTGAAGAAAATTACACTCAGCTGTTTCGATGATAAAAGATACCTACTTGAAGATGGTGTTACAAGTTACGCGTACGGACATCACTCAATAGGAAAAGTAAATTATTAAATAATGTTGAAAAAATAATGCTGAAAAATAATAGAAAAATAATAGAAAAAATAATGCCAAAAATAATAGAAAAAAATAACGCCAAAAATAATAGAAAAAATAATGCCAAAAATAATAGAAAAAATAATGCCAAAAATAATAGAAAAATGGTCTAGAAAAATATGAGCCCGCGTTTTTGGGGGAAAAATATGGAAACCGCTGACCGGAAGTTGGGTGAGATCGCGGGCCGAAAAAGTGGTCTAGAACCCTCATTCCCTATACTACTCTCTTCTTCGTTCTCCATTCTCGTATTCTCCTTTCATCGACTTGAAATTCGGCGAGAAGCAGGTCGATTCCCGTGCATGTATTTCCGCATATTGCTTGCTTTTTGACTGTAAGGCTGTATTCGTATTTTTTTCTTTCCCTTATGCAACATTTGGTTCTTATTTGAGGCAGCTATACAATTAATTTATACATGCCCTGTGCTGGTTGTACCGTTATGACGCGCCCTAACATGTGTATGTGAAGCCCTGAAAGGTGAAATGGTTTCACGATCTATTAAAGGCACAGTTCAGCCTTTTGAACGATGGTTTTTAAGGCGCATTTGAGCCCTTTTAATTGAAAAAACTAACTAGGAAAATCAATTAAGCATAATTCAAAATCAGTAAACTCGATGTTTTTAACAATATAAATGTTTTAAAATGAAATGCGCCTTAAAAACCATCGTTCAACAGACTGAACTGTGCCTTTAAGTGTAAATTTTCTCCACTCGATCACTGCGAAACCGAAAGATTGAATTAAATAAAATCAGCCATCCATCCATGCAAAAATTATAAGAAATCTTTCCTAGCCAAAATTTACTTACGAAATACTTCGCCGTTGTGATCAAGTTTTATTAATGCAGTTTTTGCGAAATCAAATGAATATGAATACAAGAAGATTTAGATGATCGACATCGAAGTGCAAAGCCACGAATTAGTTCTGATGATTGAAAGCTCTAGACGCGGGGGACAAATATTGGATACTCTGATCATTTTCGAAATCGGAAGAAGGAAGGGATATAAACATCAAACAAGGAAGTAAAACCAGAATACTGTATCATTCCTCTCTTCGTCAACAGGTGGGAAATTTGTCTGAGCATGATTCAGCATGTCAAAGCACTCCTTCATGCTGAATATACTATAGTGTGTACAATATTAATAAGTATTGCAGTTCTATTCAATTTCAAACTAGTATACTTGTTAATCAAATTTACGTGTTAGGTTTGCTTACTCTTCATTGCTTCATTATAAGCCTGAATATCATTGTTCTTTCTTCTTATCATATTAGGTTTCAACTTCCATAAGATGACAAGCTTCGTCTTAGTAATTGGCATTTTCTTTTGTTATTACTTTGTGTCATACATTAGTGAGGGTAAGTCATCTGCAGGGTAAGTCATCTACATCGAGATTATTTCTTTCCGGTAGCATTCTAACATTATTCAAGGGAGGATATCATATCAGCAGTAGTGGTTCAGTTTCGAGTTTAAGTTACAGTTCGAGCTCCTCATATGAGTGAATGAAAAGTAAGATTTGAAATTTTGATGAACCAATTGTCAATCTCGTGCTTGCATTCACACTGGATCGTAACCTCGCTATTAGTAAAAGCAAATAGCACTTCTTCTCGAAGTATTAACGCAAAATCACACTTGTTTTAAGTAAAGTAAATACTTGGCAAACAAACGCAGATTACCTAACAGAATCCAACATTGTTCATGATTATTCTCAACTCTAACATGCTTCTGTGTTATTTAGGAAAAGTACATCTACCGCCTGGTGGGAACAGGTTGACTTTTGCACCTGGTACAACTGCGAAAATAAAGTGGTCATTTGATGCTAAAATATCTAAAGTGATTTTTCGGGCTTGGTATTTCACAAGTAGTGACAGTGCAGCAGAAGAAGTGATTGCCTATATAGATCGTGATTTTGATATTGAAATAGTAAACAGCAGCCTACCTGGTGTTGGAATAGAAAAGCCAGCAACACTGGTTTTAGAAAACGTTGATTCCAGTTATAATGGGACATACGGGTTTCAGATTGCAACTCCCGGCGAGCAAGGCAGTATATTTGAAGTTGCAGTTTTTATTGCAAGTAAGTAAATGAAATTCAGTTAACTTTTATAGGTGTTTTCTCTACACTAATTCCTTGTGTATCAACGTTAATGAACATATAGTATATAGCACTATAAGCCAGATTATTTGAGACGAAGGCTTCATTTTGCCTATTAATATACATGCACATTTTTATAATCACTAACATTTGTTATAGCCAGAGACATTATCAAGCTAGAAGCAAAAATGAGCCGACAATAATGAATGCATTATATTGGAATATTCGCTACAGATATGACGAGCTGAAAAAAGTAATGATTGAAAATTAGAAAATTAGGTTTCTCGTGTATATATTTCCAGTTACGCCAACTGTGAAAGTCAATTGTTCCAGTTCCATCACAGTTAATGAAGGTAATGACGTCATATGTGTATGTGAAGGAAAAGGTGGCAATCCTCCTGCTGATGTGATGTGGTTTAGTGATGTGATATGGTTTGGTACCAGGATTGATCTAACAGCAAACGTAGAACAAACATTAACTCTCAGTAATGTTGGTAAAACAGATAGTGGAATTACATATACATGTGTGGCCCAAAGCCACGACCTAGCAAAGAATGAAATTGGTTCGCGATAATATTATTTTAAATGGCTGTGATTGGAGAAAAAAAAATTCAGATGCAAAAAATATTGATGCTTTAAAGCAAATATCTCTAATTATCAATAGCATTTAATTTGGCAATGGCTTGTCAAATGGAAGTAACTTCGGCTTCCAAGTACTACAATTTGACGATTTATATCACATTTTTAGAAATTTGCTTTTTCACAGATGCACCAGAAGAGCTATGTTTTAAGGAAGAAGCGGTAGTTGGTGAATCATTTACCATAAAATGTGAAGCTGCAGATGGTCATCCTGAACCAATTAGTTATACTATAATCCATAATAATACCGAGGTCGTCAGCACTGAAAAGACGTATACCATCCCAGTTGTGAATAAATCTCATGCTGGATTATATAAATGTATCGCAGAGAATAAACTTGGAAAAATTTCGAAGGACTATAATTTGTCCGTCATAGGTAGGCCTACCGCTGTATAAGGTACTTTCTGATCTATATAAGCTTTAAGTTCATTTTTCTCACCACATATCATTCATGTTTTTAAGATTATTAACTGAATATGAACGTTTTTATCAGCCTAGGACGAATCACAATTAACAAATATACAACAATCCCATCCCCGTTGTCTGTGTGACCAAAATTCACACAAAACCATGCATGAGCCAATAATGAAAGTTAAGTTGTCACAACTTAGTTTTATTATGTTCGATAGATCAATTAATTACACGAACAACCGGTACAACAAATGCAAATTTTCCGACAACCAATAATTCTGGGAAAGGTAAAGTGTTTATTTTTATTTTTTCGGAAATTAACACAGTTTGAATGAGAATAGATTACTAGGTTGGATAGACAATGTTTTCAAGAAATTTGAATTAGCAGCAGTACAGAATTTTTTTTTGCAATATTTACATTAAGGTATTGTGTGTGTGTGTGTCTAAATTTTTTGTATCTCACCCCAATACATACATTTTATGCTCGGTGGGACATTTTTAATTATCACTTACCAATTTACTGGAAATGAGGGAAACGTGAGCAGTGACAGATTGTTTTGTGACCATGACACCAGAATTATGATAAACCGGTTATTGGTTTTGTATTACAGAGGTATAGGAACATTTACAAAGCTCGAAACTGCCAAGTTTTTTATGACTTGACATTAATCAGTTTCTCAATGTTTCTCAACTGTAATTACAGCTGGCAACAAAACAGACGATGGGAAGACAGTGGTAGCATGGCATATTCTTGTATCATTGGTATCAGGATTTATCATGGGGATTCTGATTTCATACATCGGGGTGTGTTGTCGTCGTCGGTTTAGTCATAGAAAACATCAATCAAAACCTGAACCACAAACACCAAAAGATACTTCAATATATCAAGAATTAGATTTGGCTAAAATGAATTCTGAAGATAATTACCAATCTTTGATGGTGAATTCTGCCAATAATCAACCAGAACGTGAAGCTGTTTACATGGATTTAAATCAAGGCACCCGGGATGATGACAACCAATATCAGAAACTAAATTTAACGTAAAAATACTACAAATCCTCTGTTAAGCCCCCAACCCCACCTCTCAGATAAACTCCTCTTCCTATTTAGACGAAGAAAATTATTCAAAAATCTGTTCTCTATATTAAACCCCCTCCTGCTGAATCAAGATTCAAGAGTTTACCATATTTGAATGACGTTTTCATGACATTTCATGATCCGGGTCAGCCTGGCTAGCGGGGATGAATCGTATCATGAAATCGAAAATTTCTCCTGCTTATAAAAGATCGTTGGAATGAACTTTATACTGTTACTGGAATCGAACTAAGCTAAATCAACTTTGAAACGTCATTTTTGTTGTTAACTGTAACCAAAGCCGTGATAAGAGCTTTATTAAACGCATCATCTTGGTTAAGCGGACCTGTCCAGCTTCATATGAATAGCCTTTGAGTTTTGGCTAAATTAATTAACAAGCTCCACTCTCTATTAACCGCCCCTCTCAATTTCAGATAATGCCTCAAACCCATACCTATGATAATACCCCCGAGATTAGTTGAGGATTTACCGCCATGAGATGAGTTTCAAGGAGATATTTGACTGACGGCATTTTAGTTGATAACTTAACCTTAATTCATTTTAATTTTCTTTCTAAACAGTTGTACTAAGAAGTCAGCATTCAAAAGTTTGTAGTTAATTTTATAATCCATAGCCCGAAGACGGGGAGTAAAACTGCCCGAAACGTTGCGAAAATAATAAAATACTTTTAATTAATTTGTTGCCTACTATCATAACTGATGTGATGAAAATTTTTTCCTCAAATATGCAAAGTAAAAAAGCAAAAAGTATGGCGCTTATTCAGGGCCGTTCCTAGACGCGATAATTGGGGAGGGGGGTATATTCATATATTCATGTTCACATACCATAAAAACAACCCGCTTTCAAAAGAAATCCGTCGGGCAGAACACGAATATATGAATTTATTATATACACAAGGTCTGGATATGAGGTATTCTGCAATCTGATTGGTTCTCTGCTAGCAGGATATTAGCTCATATCCTGCTAGTAGAAAAAAAAAAAAAATGGCGGCTCAAACTGAATTTCCAGTTTTTCTAACGAGAAAACGGCAAGTTGTTCGCTTTTTATAGCCTTTGCAGGATTAAAAACACAACGAAAAAATCCCGGAAAATGTTTACAGGTTAGCAAATGAATTTTTAAAATTTAAAATGGTTAAAAATATATATTTTTGAAAAAATACTCGGCCGAAAGAGCGAAGATAAAAACATAAACAAAATAGAAAAATATTGAAAATATCCGAAAAGCAAAGTCTGTGAATTC